AGCAAGTATTTACTGAAAACCCACTCGGTTCTAGGTCTTATGCTGGGCACTATGTATGCAGGGATGATTTTTTTTAAAAATTTTATATCCTCTTGTAGACGAGTCAGATCCTGCTGAGTAATTCATTTAATTTTCCTTTTTGGGGAGTCCAGAGGTGCCTTTTGGTCTTGAGTACCATGCTGGTCACATGGAAGCTAGTCAAACTAGATACTAATATCTGTTGGTTGGTAAAAGGTGATACAGGTATGTCATTGAATAAGCAATTTTGTTCTACAAATATTTGTGTTGGCTTCAGTTAGTTCCATGATGGGCTCATGTCCTACACTGGCCTGATTGATGAACCTAAATACAACTTTTAATAGGATGTCACTTTTGGTTTTATGACTGTCACTTTCCCATTTGAGGTAGTAGACTAAACAGTTTAAGAGCACAGGCATTCAGCTCTTACAGGATTGGCTTGAGAAGCTAATATTATGTTGGGAAAATCATATAACTAGACATCAGGACATGTGGATTACAGTTCCAGCTCTGATATTCATTATTAACTACATGAATATTGTCATGTCTTCTGATATCTCATTTTTCTCACAGGCAAAAGGATGAGGTTAGACTAAGTGATGGTTAAGATCACTTATAAAATCCTAGAGTTCATGGAAAACACAAACCATGACTAGTCCTTTTGGTCAATTTACGAGATTGGTTGTTGACTGTAGATAAATCCCTTAATTTTGTTGTCTTTGTTTTCTTGCCTTTCAAATGGCTTTGATAATTCCTGGTGTGCCTAATTTATAGAAATTCCATGAGGATTTAGTGAGATATTGGGAATATAAGTGCTCTGAATAATTAACGCATCACATGAACCCAAGATATTATTCGTACTGAAAGTTAACAGAAAGATGTCGAGTTTCTCGTTACCTCCTTCCCTCCCCCCTCAAAAAAAAAAAAAAAAAAAAAGACTTGAGTTAAAAAGGAGTTTGATCCTGGTCAGGCTGTTTCCTGGAGTTTATGGAACTCCTTGGAACTCTACAGGGTCAATAGGGGCTTTGTCCTGCTGCGGGTCAGTTTCCCACAGTTGGGGTAAGGCTGCCACACTTTTTCTCCTGACAACACTTTATCAAACACACCCGCCTCACAAAATGCGGCAATTCATTAGACAAAAGTGAGGTTTTGAGTTACAATAACCTCCACTTTGTTAAAAGCCCCCTCGGAATCTGAGATCTTCTCCGTAGGCCAGCAGACGTGCACGTGTCCCCTGGTTTACAAAGGCCTTATAAACTTAGCCTGATAAGTCATCCCCCAAATTCGTGTGCCATGTCTGTCTCTCAGTGGGGATATTTTTAACTCCTCCTTCTAACTCCTCTCAGTTCCTTTAAGGAAGTGTAATCCAAAAGGGTCAGGCCCTTGGCTTTTACTTAGGGGAAAACTTTGAAAGAATTTCTGAGGCTCCCTCTGGGGTAGGGTTGGCTTTCCCCAAAAGAATTGGCCCTTCAGAGCGTCTTTGCCACATAAGGGCTTGTGTGAGGCCTCAGGCACCAGTTGACGGCCGTGTCTTCCCCACGACAGATGGTCAAGCTTTCAATTTCAGCAAGTGATCCACTGTTGAGGGGGCAGGCGGGGGACTCTGCCAGCATGCCAAGTGACAGGCCAGCTTAGGGTAACAGAGATCTGGTGTGTGCCCGGCATAGCTTTTGTGCTAACGATGGGCTGCTGACAGGCGCCCTGCCCCGGCTCATCTTTGAGGCAGAAGATCCCCTGCTCCCTTGATTCTGTTTCTCCCTGGCAGAGCTGGTGTCCTGTTTGCCTGTCTTTCAAAATTCATTTTGGCACCAGATGGACCCCCTCATGGTGGCTAGCAGTTGTCTGACTTGAAGAAGTCAGAGGGTGTGCTGACAGCTCCTTCTAGCACAACCTGAATCTGGCTGTCGGGTCTGGGCTCAAATGGCTTAAACACACACAGGCGGCAAATATTACCAACCCTGGGGAAGCAAGCAGGGGGGCCCTCTGGAGGGAGAATGGCAATGATGTCTACCTCCATAATGTTCACATTGCTGTTGTTTGTGGAAATCATGATACTAATAATTACTCTTAGTAGTTTGATTAGTCTTATTTACTCTTATTAGCAAAATTGCTGTTACAGTACGATTGCTATCAATGGTACAATTAGTATTAACATCATTACTGCACTACTTCTGTTATTACTAAAACTACTACATCATGATGGTTAAGAGTATAGTCTCTGGAGCTACACTGTCTGAATTTGAATTGAACACTGAGGTTCAGGGAATTGTTGAAATTTACCCAGGCTTGTCTTAGCTCCAATGCAAGCTCTTGCCCAGTATACTCTACTGCTGCCTTTACTGTAAAAACGCCCTCATTTCTACCCCTTGGAGACCCTAGACTCCATTTTGTTGAGCAAGTATTTACTGAAAACTCACTCAGTTCTAGGTCTTATACTGGGCACTATGTATGCAGGGATGATTTTTAAAAAATTTTATATCCTCTTATAGACGAGTCAGATCCTGCTGAGTAATTCAGTTAATTTTCCTTTTTGGGGAGTCCAGAGGTGCCTTCCTAGCTTTTGGGCAAGTTATTTCACTTCTGTGAATCTCAGTTTCCTTATCTATAAAATGGGATTAATAGCAGAGGTTACTTAGGAGGGCTGTATGAGAAAATGGATTTGTTCTTAGCATTGAACTGAGCACAAGGTAAGCACCCAATACACGGAAGCCATTTCTTATGACTGCCGCCACCAGCGTACCTACCATGTATCTGTTACTCTGCCTTATCTCTTATTCACAATTTCCCCATACAGTAAGGCCTGTTATTATACCAGTTTATAGATAAGGAAAGTGTGGTGCAGAGAAGTTCAGCTCCTTATCCAAAGTCACACAGGTAGTACCTGTCAGAGTCAGGATATGAATCTCATTATTCTGGGTGTTTCTAATGACTGTGGCCTTTCACCATATCACACCCAGTCTTGTTGTCAATTTAGTGATAATCAGCCCTCTCCTGGGGCTTGAGGTAGCTTAGAAATATGCCCTTCTAACTGGTTGTTCTAGAAAGCAGCAGCCAGTTTTCATGTCTTCAGTGTCTATGGATATAGGATTGAACCCCATCAAGATATGAGGATCACAACTATCAGCTCCACTGTACTAAATAGTTTCTGAAAGCCATGCGTGATCAGCAGGGCTACCCAGCACTTGCCTTCCGAGAGCTCAGATCAATAAGACATTGTAAAGGCACTTAGGATTTGGGCCACTCCCTCAATCCCCCTTCCTGTACCAAATCTATCATATTGAAAGTGAGCAGGAATCAGTGACTGGCTGATTGTCCTGTGCAAGGACAGTGTGGGTCTTGGTACCAGGAAAGGGGAGCTCAAAATCGGATTTTGTTTCACACAGCTGGGCTTCAGCAGTCTGTATGCCATTTGTCTTGGACAAAAGGTTGATCAACTTTGGCTTCTGTGGAGAGAATCTGGAAGTAGTGGCAAGTGATTATTTAGAGGCCTGCTTTCATTGATGGGCAGTCAAATGTTGTGTGGTGTTCAAAAGTCATTTTAGGAAGATGTTTGCATGTTTAAATGTTACTCTTTTGGTTGAAAAAGCCATTGTTTGTCTCTAAAGAATGATTGCCACAACATATTCCCATCTTGGCAGATTCTAAGAGACCAAGGAGGAGAGGGATTCATCTGGGACTTCTCTCAGTTTCATGTTCAGAAATTGGCTGAACTCTGTATATCTTCGTGTAGTGCCCTTGTTATAGAGGACCCCGGTGTTACATGATTGACAGACATTGCAGTCAGAGCCAAATTCAGACTGAGGCATCATGGGGTGATAGTTCTTCATAATCTATTTGTGTTGAGGTGGAGATTTTACTCCAGTGTGGACTTGAAGTGGAAGAAAGGGGAAGAGAATTGAATTACAACAAGAATTCAGTTGACCAGCATTGTAATGCATTTTGATATTTTTAGGGAACATTTGGGCCTGAAATTCACAAGCACATCACGTCTAGGCCTGGTAGTAAAACAGATGGCAAAACTTAGGTATCTTTGGAAATACTTCTTTTCCCAAACCCGGGCAGATAGAAGGTTTAATTACAGGTGGCCGACATGATTGCCCGAATATGACACTTTTAGTAGCTGCTGCTTTTCCATGATAGACTTTAACAACTGTGATGGTTACATAAGAAATAACTCAGAAAGTTATAGGGTGACCATATAATTTATCACCCAAACCGAGACATTTTTGAGAGTTAAAGTAGGCACTATTAATACATACACCAGTATGGCTGGTATAAACTGGGATTTTTCTTGGCAAATTAGGACCTTTGGTCACCCTAGCGAGTAAAACCCATGAATCTCACTATAGAAGCAATTCAGAAACCAAGGTGGCAGTGAGGCAGGAAAATCTTTATTCAGTCACAGCTAGCTCTTGTCTACAGCAGACAGTTAAAAAAAAAAAAAAACATTCAGGAGCTATTTGAGAAGTCAAAGGAGTTTAGTTTGTGAATTTTCCTTATTTCTCATGGGTACTACTAATTGAAACATTTTACTTGACAGACTAAGATAAAAAGTGTTTACCAAATCCTTGTGTTCATCCACCATGTATTTGCCAGTTCATCATCTGTGAGTTTATAGGGCTTAAATTCCATGTTGTTGTTGAGGACCATGAGTAATTCTCAGACAGTTATGTCCAACTGGAACCTATCTTAAATTATGATGAAAGCCTTTCCTCTGTATGAGTGAAAATACTTCCTTGGAGCTTGATTCTTCTGTGAGATCTGTTGGCAGTGCTGAGAGTGTTTGTGTCATAAGGAAGGTCCAGCGTGGATACAAAACAAAGGCTAAGGCCACAGATTAAATACTGGCTCTAACACCATGCTGAATACTTCAGAAAACATGTAAAGAGAATCAAATGCACAACCCAGGGGTGACTTACCTCTTTTTTTCCCTCCCATGTCAGAAACCGAAATGCTAACCATGATGATTTGTTTCTTCACAGGTTCTTCTTGAAATTCTTCCTCAAGTGTAACCAAAATTGCCTAAAGAATGCAGGAAACCCACGTGACATGCGGAGATTCCAGGTGGGTCTGACTTGTCTTTCTTGAATCTCAATAATGGCATGAATATCAGGACAGGATAAAAAAGTCTTAGGCAGAAGATATGTAGTTGTTTTCCCAGAGGCAAAGAGCAGCTGAGGCCATGGGTCCCCCAGGTATCCACAATCTAGGAGTTGTCTAGAAGAGAGAAGAGTGGAAACTGTACTACCTGTGCTCACTGGTTGCGACAGTGGTGTTCTTTGAGTCTAGTTTTGGCTTCCTGAATGGACTCACACACCTAAACCCCCAAAGATTAAAGTAAATAGAAATGATTAATTCTTTGCCTAAAATTTTGTATGTAGAAAACCAGCACATAAGAATAAAGAGGCAGGGTGCAGTGGCTCATGCCTGTAATCCCAGCACTTTGGGAGGCTGAGGTGGGCAGATTGAGGTTAAGAGTTCAAGACCAGCCTGGCCAACATGGTGAAACTCCAACCCTACAGAAAAATACAAAAGTTAGCTGGATGTGGTGAATTTGCCTGTTGTCCCACCTACTCAGAAGGCTGAGGTAGGAAGATCACTCGAACCCAGGAGGTGGAGGTTGCAGCTGAGATCATGCCACTGCACTCCAGCCTGGGTAACGGAGTAAGACCCTATACCACCCACCAAAAAATCAAAACAACAACAACAAACAAACAAACAAACAAAAAAAACAGTAAAGATTACAACTGGTAAAACTGCTCTGCTTTACAGTTATGGTTTTCTCTTCCTTTGCTTCTCTCTGCTCACCTCTTCCAATCTTGGAAATTGTTAGTGGTAGCTGCCTATCGTAAATGGGCAGAGATGTTAGGAAGCATAACATCTCTAAAATGATATGGATAACAGTTCTGTTTCAGAAATGTCCTTAATTGTACATTTACTAAAGGAAGAGGACTCACAAACAAATGCATTTACTTCTTCTTCTTTTTTTTTTTTTTTTTTTTTTGAGACGGAGTCTCGCTTTGTCGCCCAAGCTGGAGTGCAGTGGCGCCATTTCGGCTCACTGCAAGCTCCGCCTCCCGGGTTCATGCCATTCTCCTGCCTCAGCCTCCCGAGTAGCTGGGATTACAGGCGCCCGCCACCACGCCCGGCTAATTTTTTGTATTTTTAGTAGAGACGAGGTTTCACCAAGTTAGCCAGGATGGTCTCAATCTCCTGACCTTGTGATCTGCCCGCCTCGGCCTTGTAAAGTGCTGGGATTACAGGCGTGAGCCACTGCGCCTGGCCTGTGAGCCACTGCGCCCAGCCGCATTTACTTCTAAGACATAAAATGGTTCTTGGATTTTAGGAAAGGTTGTTGAGTCTAGACGTGGTGCTTCTCAAACTTAAAAGCGCTGAAAATCCCCTGAGGATCTTATTAAAATGCTAATAGAGGTCTGGGGTGGGACTGGAATTCTGCATTCCTAACAAGCTGCTGTATGATGCCAAAGCCATGGCCCACATTTTGAGTTGCAAAGTTTTAGACCCTTGTGCTGCTCTCCACCTAATGGCATGGCTAAATTATTTGCACGGTCAATGTTAGTTTCCCTGTCAGAGCAACGATCCATTTATGTATGCTCATATGGTCCATCAGGGAAACAGCATGGTGTTTAAAGTATGCTTTTAAGTATATTTAGTCAGCTTTAAGTGTAGATTGAAATGTATGATCTCTGAGAGGATCTTGAAAAATGTTAGCTGCACCTTCATTCTCTGATGGGAAAAAGGAAAGATGATCTTGAGCATTGATTGGGGATATCAATATCTCTTAGTCTCCGAGATGATTTATTTTAAGGAGGTGAGACTTACTAGTCTCATTAAAGAACAAATGCAGTAGAAAAAAAGTCATGTCTCCTGAGATTCTGAGGTACTTCTCTAAAATCATCATCTTGGCCTCACCATCTTTTGTCTTGACACACAAGAATGGGGAGGTTTCTTTTTTTTTTGAGATGGAGTCTCACTCTGTCACCCAGGCTGGAGTGCAGTGGGGCGATCTCAGCTCACTGCAAGCTCCGCCTCCCGGGTTCACACCATTCTCCTGCCTCAGCCTCCCAAGTAGCTGGGACTGCAGGCGCCCGCCACCACACCTGGCTAATTTTTTTGTATTTTTAGTAGAGACGGGGTTTCACCATGTTAGCCAGGGTGGTCTCGATCTCCTGACCTCATGATCCACTCGTCTCGGCCTCCTGAGGTGCTGGAATTACAGGTGTGAGCCACCACGCCCAGTCAGGAATGGGGAGGTTTCTAGTTTCTTCGAAAATGTTTCCTCTGGTCATCTTCTGACTTCAAACTTGGTGTTCTCAATCCCATAGAGGATTTTTTTTGTGTTATGTTTGAGTCAGCTTTGCAATTAAGCTGGCAAAACCACACGTGGTGCTATAAGTGTGTGTTGCTTAGGGTCTCGCTACATGAGGCTGAAGTTTGGAATAAACTGTTTTGCAGCTTACTTTGGTCTTGACATGAGCCTTATATTTCTTTTTTTTTTTTTTTTTTTTTTTTTTTGAGACGGAGTCTCGCTGTGTCTCCCAGGCTGGAGTGCAGTGGCGTGATCTCGGCTCACTGCAAACTCCGCCTCCCTGGTTCACGCCATTCTCCCGCCTCAGCCTCCCAGTAGCTGAGACTACAGGCGCCCGCAACCACGCCTGGCTAGTTTTTTGTATTTTTAGTAGAGACGGGGTTTCACCATGTTAGCCAGGATAGTCTCGATCTCCTGACCTCGTGATCCACCCGCCTCGGCCTCCCAAAGTGCTGGGATTACAGGCTTGAGCCACCGCGCCCGGCGAGCCTTATATTTCTTTTGACCAAAGCTTGGGTTAGGAACAAAGTATAGCTGGGAATGAAACAATGTATGTCTAAGAAACGTGTCTAATGCCTAATGTATACCAGGATTAATTCTGCTGTACCTCTTAGGGCAGCAGAGTTTGGGATGGACTTTGATGACATTGGAAACCTAAAAGAGCATTCATATAGAACTTCCAGGTGCTCTCTTTTCTTTGTGGAACCTACTAGTAAAACGTCTGAAAAGGTTGAATTATAGAAATATACCTCTTATACAAGATGAGAAACCAATTTAGTCTATTATTTTTGAGAGCATCTACAAAGCTTCTATTTTGCAAATGAAATAGTTATTCTTTGTTTAGTGGAAGGGCTGCTGAGATGAGGAGGCATAACATAGATATCTGGAAAGTCTTATAATCCTTTGGAGCTTCAGTTTCCTAAACTGTAAAATGGAGTAAAAGTGACGATTCTGCTTATATCACTACATATGAAAGAAAGCAATATTTTGCGTGTATAGCTAATTTGTAAGTGATAAAATACAAATGCAAGCCTTTGGAGAAAATCTATGTGATAAACTGAAGATGGATCATGAGTTCAGTCTAGGGTTTCTCAACCTGGGCACAGTTAACATTTTAGACTGGATAATCCTTTTTTGGGGGAATTGTGGGGGGTGCCCCCATGCATTATAGGATGTTTAGCAGTGTCAGTGGCCTCTACCCTCTAGATGCTAGTAGAGAACATCTACCTCCCAATCATGACACCCAAAAATGTCTGCAGACATTGTCAAATGTCCCCTGGTGGAGAGGGAAGAGGCAAAATGGCCCCTGACTGAGAACTACTGAGTTAGTCCTATATCTAATAACCTCTGACAAGCTCTTACTGGTGACAGTGCCACTGTCCCAAAAAGTGCACACTTTGATTAAGTGTGAGAGCTGCCCAGCACAAAGTCCATACTGTCTTTCAGATAAATATGATTTATCTGAACTCTGACACTGACAATGCTCTTGCCTGTGATTCTCAAATGGGTCCTAAAATAGATCAATAGGGGCAGCTACCTTGGCCACCATAGAGTCAGTTTTTGAGTTAAAGATGAGCCATGTCTTTCTTTATTAACAATGACAAATTCCAGGCTGGGCGCGGTGGCTCAAGCCTGTAATCCCAGTACTTTGGGAGGCCGAGGCGGGTGGATCACGAAGTCAGGAGATCGAGACCATCCTGGCTAACATGGTGAAACCCCGTCTCTACTAAAAATACAAAAAACTAGCCGGGCGTGGTGGCGGGCGCCTGTAGTCCCAGCTACTCGGAGGCTGAGGCAGGAGAATGGCGTAAACCCGGGAGGCGGAGCTTGCAGTGAGCCGAGATCGGGCCACTCACTCCAGCCTGGGTGACACAGCGAGACTCCATCTCAAAAAAAAAAAAAAAAAAAAAAAAAAAAAAAAAAAGCAATGGCAAATTCCTTATCAGATCTCAGGTGTAACCTGCTTTGTTTCCCATCACCCACTCTTTGCCGCCTAGAAGAGGATGGAGGAACCCATGGCAGAATGAACATGGACACATTTTATTTTGTATCCCTATACATTAATACATTTCTTTATTATTTTTACACAATCAACATTGGCTTTCATGCATGCAGGGACATAGATATTTGTGTAATTAGAGGATGGATGAATTGCCTCGAGAGTTAAAGCAAAACCTCAAATCTCTCTAACCCAACCTTTTATTGTTTCTTCTTCAGTCTTTCTGTCTTTCATGACTATTTACTCCTACCTCTCTCTGTATTATTTCATGCTGGCAGCCATTACACCCTTTTTGAATCCATTTTTTTTCTTGAATTATGTAACAACAGTCGCTCATTCTGAACTCCCTACAAGGGATGCTATTTGTTTGCCTTTCTAAAAAAGTTGGAGTTCTCCTAGTCTCCTTCTGAGGTCCAGATCTTTTCCCATTTTATAGGTTCTTTCTAGTATCTTCTCCACTCACAGCATCTTAACCACTATTTATGCATTGAGGACTCTGGCATCAGAATATCTGAGACCTGACACCCAGGTTTAGATCTAACTGTCCAGATGTCTACTGGGTATTTCCAGGAACTTCAACTCAGTCAGCCCCAAACTGAACTCACTGTCATCCTCAGGTGTTTTTCTGTTTGTTTATTTTGCCTCCATCCCAAGCTTCTTAGGTTCTCTGTCTTGGTTCATTCCTAACTGCATTGAATGCTGGGAAGATGACTGTGTCTATATTCAGCATGTTCC